GAGCTTGCTTTAAGTAATTTGGTAGAGATTTCATCATATCCATATATCCACTGTAACAGCATTCTTCCATCAATACACTGTTGATTTAAAGAAAATGAAACTGCATAAATAGAACTAAATTTCAGCTTTATTTGAGTTATGCCGTTATTGTATTGGCCCTTAAATATAATTAGAGCTTTGAAATACTTGAATTTATGCGATACATGAATTATTTTGAAGATCTGTCTTGTAGTATTCAGTTGTGTATCACTTATTTATTCCTTGTTTGTTGTGAACCTTATGTGAAACTTGCTTTTTAAAACCACTAAAAGTATTAAACTTCCCTTTTACACCTTTCATGTATGCACACTGCATGTCATCTTCAGGTGTCACTAAAATGCGCTGATGAAACTGTTGGGCTTCCCATCAGTAAGTTAAGTTTTTGGGGTAACCCTCCCCCCCCATCTGTGCTGCTGCTACATGGCAGTGAGAACTACCCATCACTATAGGACGAATGTGCACATAGATAAGGCCTACCCAAAAAATCGAACTTACAGACAGAAGCATAGCAGTTTCAGAGATGCCTGAAGGTTTTAAAAAGCAAGTCGCCTGTAAGACACTAACAACTAACAGAAATAATTTTTTTGTGTCATTAAGCTCTTTTAATATGTCTTTGAGATGATGTAACATAGGAACCTGGTGTAAGTTCACTTAACATGTCTTGAAGCAGGTGATGTAATGTGGGAACCTGGTTCAGCCACAGTGCCATATACAGGGTGTCCCAGGAGGAATGTGCCATACTTCAGGAGGGTGTTCCTTATGTTAAAGTATGCCGGTATAACCCAAAACACCTATGTCCAAAGTTGAACGGTTACAGAGATAATGTCCTGAGAAAATTGTTGTCTTCTGGCAGGTCCACGCACTGTACCTGTCAGCTGACCAGTCTTATCTATGTTTGTCCTTGAGTGTGGTGATGACAGACCTCACTAGCCGCATACACTCGCATACCAGAATGTGCAGTCAGCCATGTTATGTCAGTGCTTGCCATTCATGTGCCATTATAGTGCTTGGAACCCTAACGACAACTATGACATGGCGTGTAAGTTGTTTTGTAGTTCAGTTTAATGGCTTCATATCAGTCACAAGTTAGTTTGATGTTGCGTACATTATTAACATTACAGAAACCACATATTCCTACCAGTTTTAATATGTATTTGGTAATCAACAAGTGTGTTAACATCTGTCAAAGTTTCACACTTCTCTGGCCATTATCTCCATAACCGTTATATCGGCATACTTTAACATAAGGAACACCCTCCCGAAGTCTGGCACATTCCTCCTGGGACATTCTCTATACTAGTAGTCGGTGTCTTAAGTGAAGCTGATTTTGAATTGTGTTAATAGTACCCAGGAAGTTGCGATTGGAGGAGGGTATGTCCAACAGTTGCTGTGAACACAACTAATACTAGAAAGACCTGTGAAGCGTTCATATACATATATGCAGCAGAATTTTGTAAAAACGATTACCTTGCCTCCACAGCAGTCCAGAATATGTATAAACTCCTGTCTTGAACCTACAGAATCGTGTTTGCTCGATCTCAGAATCAGTTGTTAGTAGTTTTGTTTGCAGCAGTGCAGTCACAATATTTTGTTGTGGTTAATGTGTGCGTGTCCTTCTTTGCAGCAACATGGTCCAATAATCTCGATTCAGCAGCATCTGTGTTCCCGCCATCCACATTGACTCCAACACTAGATTTGGACATCTGGGGAGAAATTTATCAAGATGTGAGCAGTTGGTGTCCCAAACCGCTACTGGATACATCTTCCACCATGGTGGGCGACAGAAAAGGTTCCAGTTGTATTGTACAAGACGATGAACTGAACACACCAGAAAGAGGTAAAACATTTTTTTAACATATTAATGGATTGCCTCAGTTGAAGTATTTTTATGAACTTCCTAATATTAACCTTTATCGGACGAACGTCATCATATGATGTTAAAAGTTAGGGCAGCTGGCCGAACGTCATCATATGATGTCGCGGATTCCACGCGTGTAAGGTTTTTTTTTTAAATTAAATTAAAAATATAAATTGTTGTTCTATTTACATGATTTTTGGTCACCACCTTTATAAGGAGACAGCCTTCCTTCCTGCATGATCTAATGTAATCTAGCGATGTCATATGATGTTAAAAGTAAGGACAAATTGCCGAACGACATCATATGATGTCGCGCA